TGAGTGAAAGAAGCCAGACAAAAATCCACACATATTGTGTGATTCCATTTTCGTATGTTAATTTTAGAAGACATAAACTAATCTATAACATAGAAATCAGATCAGTTGGTTGCCTAGGGATAAGATGGTGATATTATAAAGGAGTGCAAGGATACTTTTGGGGATGCTAAATATGTTCGTTATCTTGATTTTCATGATGGTTTCACAGGTGTGTCAAAACACATACATATGCCATACATATGTCAAAACTCATCAAATTGTACATTTTAACTATGTACAGCTGATGTATGTCAATCATACTGCAATAAAGCTATTTTTATTTTATTTATTTATTTTTTTTATTTTATTTTTGAGACAAATTTTCACTCTTGTCACCTAGGCTGGAGTGCAATGGTGCGATCTCAGCTCACTACAACCTCTGCCTCCCAGGTTCAAGCGATTCTCCTGCCTCAGCCTCCTGAGTAGCTGGGACTACAGGTACCCACCACCACACCCGGCTAATTTTTGCGTTTTTAGTAGAGACGGGGTTTCACCATGTTGGCCAGGCCAATCTTGAGCACCTGACCTCAGGTGATCCTCCCGCCTCGGCCTCCCAAAGTGCTGGGATTACAGGCCTGAGCCACCATGCCTGGCCAATAAAGCTATTTTTAAAGAAAAAAGTCAAAATGGGCTGAGTCTTCAGAGACAAAAAGCAGGCTAGACATGGAGGAACACACGTCCCCTGAAGGAGAGGAAGCCTCAGGGAAAAACACAGAGAAAAAGATGTGTAATTATATTCCATTTAGGAGGAAGAGTACACTGAGGCAGTGGCCCTCCCACCCTACTTGGCGACAGGTCCACAGAGTCTTTTGAACAGGAGCAAGAGGGCTACAGTGATGCACTAAGGTCCTGGAGAAGCAGAAGAGAGAAAGCCGACTATTTGTGGCCTGCTGTCATAAGAGAGAAAACTGTTCAATCCTACACACCAGAGTCACAGTAGGCAAGAAGATAAGAATTTAAGAGAAACATGAACTTCCGCAAGCAGGACTCCTAATCTGAAATCAAAGGCACCAACCCCAGACCCTTTCTTTACTGTGTCTATGGTCCTTGAATTTAATAAGAGGGTTCACCCACAAGAAGGAATACAAGCCCAGGGCAGGACTGTGAGAAGCACACTGACACCAGATGAGTAGGGGCTGCCCATGGAAGGGGTACTTCTGGGAGTAGTTCCGGTTTTTGGGTAGAGCCCCTCACCCTCTCTGCATGTGTCAGGCATTTATTTGTGCCAGGCACAATGCAAACTACAGGGGATATGGCTGCCCCAGGTGCTGACATCACAGTGGAGGGCTTGGCCAGGTGCTGGAGGTCTGTCTTGAGCCCCCAGCTCTGAGATGGAGCAAGGATCCAGTCACCAGAGTGTTTCCATCAGGACTCCTCAGGCCCCTGCAGGCTCTGACACCAAAGACAGTTCCTGACAGCATCCAAGCTCATCACCCTCCACAGATACCAAGAGACAGAGATTAGTTGTTTAAACCCATCAGAAAGTGAAGGTCAGTGCTAGGTTTTAAATCCCACCTAAACATTGTGTGTTTTTAAATTTGCCTCTCAATCTTTCCTGAATTAGGGACAGCAGATTGTCATCCCATTTTTGAGACTTCAGTCATCCTTCTGTGTGCATTGCCGCAACTGAGAGGAAGGAAAGAGCAATGGATATGGAGTGAGGAGACCTGAATTCTGTCACTATTCTGTTCTGCAGAATCCAACAGTATGTCATTAAAACAAAACAACACAAAAACCTGTCTGTGAAAGGAGACTCACAAGTAAGGGAGTTTTGATGATTTCCCAGTTTACTTATGTCCTTAATTCTAAGGAAGTGCAATAAGGGACTTGTCAATAGGAAACCCTTTAAGTTTCAGGGAGATGGGAGCTGCTTCCTTTCCTTTTATTTCAAATTATTTTAAGCATTAAAAAGAGCGGGGAAAAACTAGACTGGTGTCAGAAGAAAGAACAAAACCCTGTTCATGAGTTTCTCACTGGGCCTGAGGCAAATCACTTAACCTCTCTGGGCCTCAATTTTCTCAACTGTAAAATGGGAGTTGGATTAGGTGTGGGCTGTGTTGCTGTTATAAACATTCATTCATTCATTCATTCATTCATTCATTCATTCATTCACTCATTCAATATTTGAGAACCTATTCCATCCCAGGAATGTCCCAAGCAATAGGTTATAGAGTTAAAAAACAGACAAGAACCTTGCACTCCCACCTACATTTCAGAGGAACCAAAAATAGAGAACTAAATAAGATAATGTCAGACAGTGACAAGCACTAAGAAAACAATACACCAGGAGTGCTTGAGTTGGGGTGGAGTGTTGTTACTTTACTTTAGAAAGGGTGGTGGGGGACAGCTTCTCTGAACTGGTGAGACTTGAGCTGAGTCTGGAATGATGAGAAGGAACCAGACACTTGCCTCCAAGCAGAGGTAACAGAAGGGCAAAAGCCCAGAAGTAGGAATAGGCTTACTTGGTGAAGAGAAGCTATCCCCTTTTCATTGTATACCCCACTCCTAGTGGTGTGTATTAATGCCACTTAAATATATTCATACAAGACACTTTAAAGAGGAGTAAAATATCATTGGATTTGAACAGTTCCCTCAAGGCAGGCCTTCTCTTCCACACGGCTCCTTTGTTGTTCTCAGGTGTCTGTCCTCATGGTCATAAATTCCCTTACTCCAGGCAGCACTAAACAGGATTTAAATCAGTGCTTTTCAATCTTTTATAACAGCGACCCATAGTGAGAAGTAAACTTTATGTTGCAACCCAGCATACATATAAAACTAAACAAAAGTTTTAAAAATCACCAACTTTACTATGACTCCCTGCAATACACTATCAAACATTCTATTTTATTTCATTTTTTTAAAATGCTAAGGTGATTTCATGGGTAACTTACTGTTTGTAAAACACTATTCTAAACCAACATTGACTAGTAATTTTGTTCAAACACAAACCAAAACATGAAAAAATACAGCATTAACCTCCAATGCCACCTCCTCCCTTTTTTCTGTACACATCCTTGCTTTGACACAATGAAATCTAAATTTCTCTGTGTAACTTGTAGAGGAAATGACCAGAAGAGGCATTTCCAGGAAAGCTGGAAGTGAAGGAAAGAAACCCAAATATGCAAATATGCAAACTGTTCACTAGGTGAGGATACACCATTGGTTTCAAAGACTGCCCAAGAAGAAAAGATTCATAGTCTTCACAATAACCAGAAGAGGTGTGTATGTGTTGGGGGTGGGGGTATGAGGTGGTGCTAGGTAAGCCATCAAATTTTAAGTTCCTGGAGGGAAGGCAGTCTGTATCCCTACCTTCCCTTACCAGAATTTCAGCCCCCTGTGGACTGATGTGTAACCACAGCACTCAGAACCATCCCTGGCACACAGCACATACATGGGAGCTCGAAAACAATTTGTTTCACAACTTTAGAATAATGGAGCTCACTGTCACCATCAAACCCTAACTTTGCACGTATGCCCAATTATTAAATGTTCCTGGAATGTATAAATGTCATGCAATAGTAAACTAACCTCTTGTTTATTTCCCAGTCATTGTTCAAGCCCGGGTATTAATGAGGTATTTTTCTCAAGCACAAAGTGGGAAAAGGATATTTTCTATTGCAAGGTACAAGAGACAGTATTGGCTGTAATGGAAAGATTCCACCTCTGTTAGTGGCTATGGTAAACTCCTAAACAGCTGGGATTAAAATAAGTATGTTAATTTCATAAGTAGTTTCCCAAGGGAAACTAACCAGCAGGCTGTCAGCCAAGGGTTCTCTCTGATAGAACCACGCAAATTTCTCTGTGAAACAGTTACCATCCTCACCCCTGAAGTCAGAAGTGCATGCACCCAATTTTTAGGAGCCCCGGGGTCCTAGTGTCGCAAAAATTACACCTGCAAGGCAAGCATTTTCCCACCTGCCACACAGCTGCCACACACAGAAAGCAGCTCCTTTCAACTATGCCCTTCAGCCCTAATTAGGATAATTACTAATGATTTCAAATTACAACTGTTGCTTTATCTCAAAACAGTGCTAAACAGGGGAGCTACATTCATGACGGTTTTCTTTTAAGTCATTTATCTGCTCGTCTCTCAGGGGCAAAAAAGATGTTGAGACAAGTGTGAACCTGCCAGAGCTTCTTATTATAGATGCAGCCCTCCTCTCCTCCCTCCCTCTTTTCCACTCCAGCACCCCTCCCGGTCTGGCTTTCCTGAATTGAGGCAGTAGCCTCTGGTAAGAAACTGTAAGTGGCTCCGTTATCAAAACAAGGAGGGATTCACAGCAGAGGGAGTGAGTCAGGCGACCGAGGGAAGAACCCCTCCCTTATCCTGACAGATCCATTTACCCCGTTCCCCCAGGTCAACAATAATTCGGGTTTCATAAAGGAAGAAAGTCTTAGAGGAGGAAAAACAACCTATCCAAATACAGGAGCATCTGCTTAACGCAAGACGGAACGAACCCCGCTGCCAGACCGGTGGTGTGGGCAGGAGAATGTGTGCGCGTGCATAGGGACAAGCCTATATACGGATGAGACATTAGTGGCAACGAGAGGAGAGCCACCACCATTGACAAAGCCACAACTATTACGTTTTGAAATACCCCCGCAGGCACTGACTTTTGGTGCCAGAATCTCCCCAGATTTATTTTCAGGCAAGTGACTCACAACCTGGTCTCCATAAGTAATTCCATTAAAATGAGTCGCCGGTTCCACTAACCCGACTTTCCGCTGCCCTCTGGCTGCTCCTCCTTCCTCTCCGCCCATCCTGCAAACCCAGACAGCTCACAGACCGAGAAACCTTATCCCCAGGGGAGCAGACGGCAGGCTCTCCGGCCTGGCCCCTACCCTCAAGGAAGAATGAATGGGGCCGCGGGCGGGCGGGAGCGCAGGGAGGGGGCGTGCGGGCTGTGCGCGGGGTGTGTACGCGTGTGTGCGCGTGTGGGCACGCACCCCGGCCAACTTACGGAGGTGGAGTTGGTCCTCGCCTGGCCCTGGTTCCGTACCTCCTGCTCCCGGAACTGCAGCCCAGCCAGATGCTTCTCCAGAGCCTCCCAATCCATAGGTGGCACCGGGGGCTCTTCGGGGACGCACGTCCCGCCGTCTGGGGGCTGAAGGCAGAGCCCCCCAGCCGCCGGGCCGAGGCCACTGCGCCGGCCCCCAGCCGGCTGGGGCTTTTGGATCGCCCGGCGGGGGCCCCGGGAACTGCTCGGCCGGCCAGCCACCACCACGTTGCCATTGTGCCTAAGGTCCTGGGGGTCGTGCTGGTGGAGGTTGCCGTTGGGCACCGGGGGCGGCATGGCGGTGGTGGCGCTCCTGCCCCCGCCCCCGCCGCCGCCGCTGCGGGTCCTGGCGCTTACGTCCCCCGGCTCCCGGGCCGGACAGCGGTCATCCCGGTACCCTCGCTGGTTGCTCTCGTCCTCCTCTTCTTCCTCCTCGCCGTCCTCCTCCGGCGCCCACTCATCAATCACCTTCTTCTGGTAGACCGGGAAGGGCTCCTCATAGTCCTCCAGGGCAGACACCAAGTCCAGGCTGCCCCCCGGCGACGATGAAGATTTGCACTCGGAGCAAGGGGTCACTTTGGTGGAGTTGGACTGTGAACTGGCGCGGCTGCTGCTGCTGCTGCTGCCGGCGTCACTGCCTAGATCCATCCCATCCTCTCGGTAATCCTGCGGGGAGGAGGTAGAGAGAGTGAACCGCTGGGCCGAGCCTGCTCCAGCCTCCCGCCGCCCGCCGCGAACGCCCCGGCCCAGTGCCCCGCACCCTGCGCCCGCTGGGTCCGAGGTGCGTCCCCCAAGGAGGCTTGGGGGCGGGTGCCAGCACCAGCCTGAGGCTCCCCTCCTGCCCGCCTTTCCTCTCGCACAGCCAGACTTCCTGCCGGTAACTAACCCTCAAATTAGCAAAGGGGTGCCCAGCCACCAGCGCGTACACTTTTCATACGAGGGGCCCCGCGGCGCGTGCAGACTTTGTATTAACCATTTTGCGCCGGGCGCGCCCCTTTACCCCGCCCCAAGGATTCTCCGAGAACCAGACACTTTCCCAGGAAATTATAATTCCCTGGGGGCGGGAACTGCGAAGAGGGTGGGCGGCTACTAATTTCGCACCTCGCTCTAGGCGCTGAGACCACCCCCCGCCTGGCCCCGCCCCGCCCCGCCCCTTCCCCGCCCGCGGCTGGGAGCCCCGGTCCGCGCGGGAGCTGAGCTTTACTTTCTAAGGAACCGCTGGCAGTCGGAGGTCTCACTCCCGCCTCCGCGCGTCTCTGGCCGGCCCCTCCTCCCACCCACCGGAACTTTCGGGGTAGGGAGCGCCCTCGGCCCGCGCCGGGCAGGGTGGTCCCCCGCCTCCCCAAAAGGTGTTCCTGGCCGGGGCGCGGCGGCAAGTCGCTGCAGGCGCCGCCACCGCCCTAGGGGAGGGAGGACGCGCCCTCCTGGCGGCGGAGCCGGTCCCGCCACCGAGCATGCCCAGAGGCTGCCGGGCGCGGCGCAGTCCGCAGTCCGGGTTTCCGCGGCAGCGGCGGGAGCGGGAGGCAGGCTGGGATGGGGTTGGAGGGGCCCAGGATAGGCCCAAAAGAAGGGGGCACTGGGCGTTAGGGGCGCAGATCTAGCCAGTTAGCAAGGGCGGCGCGCTGGGGAAAGTGGTGTATTTTTTCGCCGACACCCGTATTTTCTTGGCGTGCCTCAAGCCGTCTCTGCGTGACTCGTTACCCCGCCGAGGCCACCCAGCACCCCAGAACACGAGCCTGGCACCTCCTATTCCACGCGGAAATGCCCGAGTGACCCTGTGAAGGACCTCCCTCCCCTCACACACGCATATACACAAGCCCATGTGGGAGCCCGAGTGACGTGTGCTCGGTGGTCATGCACCATCATTTCCCTTCCACCTTCCTCCTCGCCGCTTCCTCTCCCTCCACTGCACAGCTCCAGCCGCCCTGCCGCCGCCGCATCCCCTTCCAAGTTCAGGCTGTGGGTGGAACCTGTTGCTTTAGCTCACGTTTCCTTTCCCCTCCGGGCTGCACGCTGAGGATGACCTCAGCGAGGTGTGTGTATGGGGAATGGAGGGTAAGTGCGAGAAAGGACTCCTGTCTGGCAAGGAGACGGAGGAAGCGGGTGGGGGCGAATGTTCTAAAGGGTTGGGCAAGCCACCAGAGACTCTTTCCGCCACCTCCAATCAAGGGGACCTTAAAGGAGGGGAAGAGGTAGATATCAAGTGAGGGTGCCCCTGGCACATCCGCTGCCTTTGCTTCCTTAGATATTTCAGGTACCTGAGTCAAACCTATGCTGGCGTTTTCAAAAATGTACGGGCTGCCTGAGTCTGGCAGCTAATCTCCTTTGGAATAAGGTTCTGTGAAATGAAAAATACCAACACTTGGAAAAACATAGATGCGTCACAGAGCACCTACTAAGAATTTCCTGTGAACCAACCATTCTGACCTGTAAGAACTGGGAAACTAGGAAATGCTGTTTTCTCTGTGGTGATTGTGAAAAATATTACTTAATTTTATAACAAATTGGAGAGAACCAATTTCTCTGAACTTCCAGATTTGGGCCTGTTGCTAATTATTCCCAGTGAATTCTAGCCTGGACCAAATGACTTCCCTGGCGTGGCACAGTCCAGATGGAAGAACAGGGGAATGCATGGGATTCCTAAGTAGGGAGTGGCTGCCACCCTGAGGATTCTTCTAAGCCCTAGTGGAATGTGGTGTTGAGACCCTTTTTGAAGTGATTTCTGTGAGGCACGACTCTCCTGTCCTAGGTAGACCTGAGCCAGGGAAGATCATCTAACCTTTCAACTCCTCTGGAAGCAGCAATCTTAGGAATAACTGGAAAAGGGGACTTCTGGTCTGGCCAGTTCTTTTGTAAAACGGTACTGATGGTTATTTAAATTGTCTTTTATGGTAACATCTGTAAACAGCCTTTCTTGTGCTCCAAATATGGTTTGATTTTGAGATTGCTCTGGAGCCCTGCCTGCCACTCCAGCGGGTGGAGGTGGCCCTGTGAGTAGGAAGATGTGAGTAGGAAATATTTGATGTGCTGGGAATTAGATAGCTGTTTTTCAGTTCACCCTATGACCTGGCATGGCTTAGATCACAAAAATCTCCCTGCTTTGTGGCAGGACACAGATAGACAGATAAGTACTGATCACCTGGGGTGTGATCATCACCTGGGGTGATGAGAGAGAGCTGTGGTTTCATTCCAGGTTTTGAACATTAGGACCTCCTCAGCCACCCACCCAGACTCTCTCTGAGCTCTGGGCTCATCCCCCTGTTGCCCAGATGGTCCATGTTCAGGGAATGCAAAATAAGGCCTAAGAAAAATGTTTGGCAAAGAAAGTCTACTGCCAAAAATGCATGGCATTTCAAAGCCAAATATAAACATCTTTGAATTACCTGTACTTTTAAATTATTTTCCGACCAGATATTTCTGGATCAGATGGGAAAGTACCAGGTTTCCCTTCTTTTCTCTTCACGCAAGGTGCCTGGCTAGCCCAGTTTCCTTTCTGTTTCCAGCCTTCCATCTCCTGCCAGGAACCCTCCCACTTTGGAACAGGAAGCTCTGCCAACTCCTAGGCCCAGCAACAGCCTGCAGATATGTCCAGCAGGATAGGGAGATGATTTGCAAAGTGATTGAAAGATTCTGTCTTCCTGTTTACAGGAACATTTTTTCAAGTTAGGGGCTTGGAGCTTTCAGACTTAGATTTGTCTCCTGAAACCTTTGTAAATTAGACATCAGAGGTGTGGGATAAGCACCTTCATGCTCTGGCTCCAGCACCTTTCCCCATCAATCAACAAGTCCTGTCAATCTACCTAAGTACAAGGTCCCTCTCAAATACCCACTGCCCCCACCCTATGGGCTGCTGTGTCCTGAAATTACTAAATAGTTTCCCAACTGATTCCTGCCCATTCTCTTCATGCAGCCAGAGTGGCCTTACTAAAATGCAAATCTGAACAAGTTTCTCCCTTGCTTCATTAACTACTCCCCTACCCACCCGGGTCTACTCACTGCTCTAAAGGAACTATTTCTCCTCCTCCACCCCACTTCTTTTGGTAAATTTTTACTCATCCTTCAAGTCTCAGCTTAAATGTTACTTCCTCAGGGAAAGCTTGCCTGATTCTCTACACCTGCCCTTACTGGGTCAGGTGACATTCACATGTGCCCATGACACTCACTGCATATTGAGGTTGCTGTTTAATTGCTAATATTCTCTACTAGACTCATGATAGGAAATACATTTTATATCAAGACACAGGCCACACATTCATATAAAAGTATATGCAAGGGAAAGAAAGTTTCATAAAACTCTTATTTTGTAAAATCATATCGAATTCATGTAAAACTAAATCTGGTCACACCTTACTGCATTGACTTCCCAACCCTTAGATGGGTCAGGGCTTCTAATGTGAAAAAAATACTCTAAATTCCATGAAGTGGGGGACAATTTCTCTCATTCACGGTAATTGGAATGGAATAGGAGCTTAATAGGTATTTGTTGCTGGAATTATTAATGATAATATCTAATTCATATCATCCTCAAAGATCCTATGAAGAAACTACTATTATCCCTACTTACAGATGAGGAGGCTGAAGACAGTGAGATTAAGTAACTTGCCCAGTGTCAAAAAGCTGGTAAGGTAGATGGCAGAGTCAGGATTTGAACCTGAGTAGTTTGCATTCAGAATTCTCGTCCTAGTCACTCAGCTCAGTATCCTCTGGTCAAGGTGCATATGAATGAATTTACCAAGCAAAAATGTCAGAAAGGGTCTCCTTGCAGCAACTTCAAACTAGATCTCAGTCTGCCTTGCAGAGGCTCCTTGGGCAGTATTTATGTCTGTGCAGTGAAGAAGGCATCTGGCAAGAACAGCTGTTCCCCTTTGCTCACATGTGCTCAACCTCCTTAACCACCAAGTCCAGCAATATTTAGCAAGTAGGGAGATTTAATTGTGTAAAGGAAGAGTATAGATACTTCCAGAAATGCAATTTCACATTGTTATGAACTATGTGCTGTATGTCCCCCCACCCCCCCAAAACAAATCCTTTAAAAAGAAAGCCACCATGAGATTGGGGTATTTATTTTGGGGTATATCAATAGGAAACTGTCTAGATTAATACTCAAAGATAGGGGTAAGAAGATCGTGTTCCTCAGGGGTCAGTGCTATTTATAGGATTTTAATCTGTAAAGGCAACATTTGAGAAAGGACATGATTGAAATATTTGAATCAAAGAGTATGAATAGACAGGAAAATATTTATTTGCAGAATTTCCAGACTAATCCTTATATTATTAGCCCTGATGCTGAACCTTAAGTTGTGGCATTTAGAGTAATAAAGAAATGGCTGGCAAAGGGTTTGTATTTCATCTTTATTACATGAATTACATGCAGGTCACATGCAGTACACAGATGTTCTCCTATTTCATCACCTGAATATAACTACATGGAGATATTTAACAGCCCTGTGGGGTAAAGTGTCCTGGATACAGAACATCTGGGGTTTGTTTCTGGCCCTATCTCTAACCAACTTTATGACCACAGTTTCCTCATGAAGGAGCCCAGACACATGATCACAGTGTTTGGCAAATAGTAACAATTAATTAAATGAATAAATAATGAGTGAACTAAAAAGCTACTTCCAGCTTGAAGACTATGGATTGCATTCTAGAAACCATGAGGAATA